TAAATTCAGTCCTCTGTTATGTTTAAAACAAATTACCCAGTCCATATCAGTATAGATATCCAGCATGATATTTTCCCCACTGAGATCTGATGTGTTTTCAAAGAGTTCCTTTAATTTTTTTTGAGCTGTGTAAATCTGCATGAGCCTTTGAGTTACATTTAAAGAACATGTATGAGTAATCTCCAGGGCTTCCTCCCACTGCTCAATCTCAAAGGCAACTACGATAAATTTGTATATAATGGCACAGGATACAGCTCTTGCTTGCTTTAAGCCAATTAGTGCTTTTCCAAAGAGTTTAAATGTGAGCTCCTGGTATATCTTAAAAAAATATAGTTATGGTACCATTAAATGTATTTTAAAAACTAATGTAAGTACAAAGAATCATAAAAAAATCAAGGTCAATTAAGGTAGCTCAACAGTTGCTACTAGAATGCACTCCAATTATAAAACCCATATCCATAGGGCAGTAATGGCTATAAAAATGCCAGCTGGACCATTAAAACCATATATTTATTGTTGATAAATACTGTAAAAATAAGTATTTTGTTTTTACAGTCTCTCAGATATCCAAAGTCACTGCTCCAGAGGATATGGGTTTATCAATTAGTGTACATTACAGTAGGGGCTGCGGGAGCTGGTTAAATAGGACTTTTTTCATATATTCTAATTTATACACTCTAGGGTTTAGCTCCAAGAGATTCCTTGAGTCTACCTTTTGTATTATTAAAGTACCTGGACTTAGACTGGGAGATAGAGAGGCAGCACTAGCAGCAAATTTGACATGGCTGCAATGCACATGTGGTAATGTGCTGACAGGAGAAAGTGCAATTAGCAGGGGTGATGAGCACTTTCAGGCAGAGAGGATATCAGCGGAAACCACATATTTCTTAGCACAGGTTTTCTTTCAGGAATGCATTGTAAGACTACTATAATGACCTAATTACATAAACGTATCTGGAGAATCCAGTCTATAAAAGAGCACACCCAATGATGTATATATCACAATAATCTAAAAAGCAAGTTAACTATAAAAAAGAAAACTAGAGAAAACAATGTTTATGGCTTTATTTTTAATTGAACAAAGTAGACAGACACATAAAGAACTTATTTATAATATTCATAATACCCAATTGGTCTTTCAACTGTACAACACATAACAGCAGACAACAATCATTGCCATGATGACAAAACACAACTGACATCGCAAAACAACAAAAACAAAGCTTGCTCCCCCACCCCCACCCACCCACAGGGCCCTAGGACTAGAATAATTATTCACTGCTCCATTTTTAAATCACAAACTGGACATATTTCCACATGCCTTCATGTGGGTTGTTTACAGTGCCAATTACAAAAATAATTTAAGTTGCCTTAAGATGGCCATATACATGGCGATTTTCAAGCCATTTCAACCACAGAGTTGATCAAATGAATCAATGCAGACTAACACCAATTGTTTCTATCGTTTTGCAGCATTGAAAACAACTGTTGGTTTTAGGTTATCCTTTCAACCATATTTGACAGCTGAGCAGGACCTTTGATTCTCTGGAACTGGCTACAGATAAGAGTTCTGCTAAAGCTTTGGTCTGCCCTTGTCCTTCCTTGATGTTGATTAAATCCTTTCATTTAACGTTCTGTGATGCTGTTGCTTAACTAAACTCCCCAAGCCAAGCTATACCTGAAGAAAATGACTGTGAATATTCAGCTTTCCTGCCACCTGCACCACCTAACGCTGTTGTGTTCATTAGAACAAAGAAACCATAGCTTCAAGAAGTGTCAATCTCCTGGGTCCCCCCCCAGCTCATACCGATTTCTCCTGCTGACCTCCATGTTATTACGATACTGAACAGAGATGTGAAGGTCAAAAGGAGGAACCAGTTAGTGCTGTGGGGGACCCAGGAGATCAACACTCCTGGAAGCATCTGTTTGCAGACATTTTCTACAGATTTCTACTGAACAAAGCACAGAAAGCAGGAAAGGTATTTACAGTCTTCTTTAACAGGTAGGCCTTTCTCTGGGAAAATTAGTATAGTGGCAAACTCACTTTAAAGGATAATTCTTTTAAGTCATCCATAGACTGCACGAATCTTGGCCAGTTCAGAAGGGATCGGCCAAGATTTGAACCGTGTATGGGCAGGCTGAATGTGCCCAAGTGTATTGATTGATCAGCTTGGCTACAATCAGCCTGCCGGATTTTACATGCAATTACTGCTAGCGGCTGTGCAAACTGCTAGTAATGATTACGGTCTTCTCCTGGCAGAGGCAGCTTCCCCTGCCTCCTTCCCCGTTGGTAGAACTCCATGGCTCCATGGAAGGGATTCCCCTGTCAACAGAGCCGGTGTTGATGGGGAAATCGAGCTGTGGTTGCACTGTCTATGGCTTGCATTAGTTTTACTACACAGATTATTCAATACATTTTCAATAGCTTCATTCACTTATTTCAATCAATCAGTCTTTGTTTACTAGGTTTTTTAACAGTTTAGGTCTGTCTACTTTAAGGTGACTGAAGCAGTAGATAGGGTTTATGGTATACATGGAATATGGCTTACAACCTGGAATGCCACCCATAATGTTTGAGCATGGTTGTGATCAAGTTAATGCAGAGGGGTCTGATCCATTGAAAGGGGAGAAAAAATGAAAACAAAAATATAGTGGTTGGCCATTGCAACCAATCATAATTCTTGTTTAATTGGTTCATAAAATATCTAAAACATGCCTGATTTATTATTGGTATCGGCTCCAATTTTGTGTTAATTTTCTTTCCTGCAGTTTTAATGATTCAGCTCCAGAGACTTTAATAAGACATTTTTAATAATTTAGGAGTGTATTTTGCATATGCATCATAATTACCATCATAATTATAGAAAGAAAAAAATGCATTTACACATTTCATCAGTGACGATATTACATTATCCAATTCTCTTTAAAGGTTAAAACTATAACACACACAAACAAAGCTATTTTGCAGTGGCTGAGTGTTGCACAAATGCAAAATGATAAAGGATAATGAACAAGGGACTGAAGTACACGTACCTGCATTAACTTAAGAAAAAGTTAAGGTAAACAGCACCCACCATGCCTATTATGATCCCTAATTTGTACAACAAAACGAATACATCTTACATAGTGAAAAATATTAAACTTTCAATATAGCGATTATATAGTATACTGTGAAATATAAAAAAATGCACAAAGCAATAATATTTATAACATATGCTTGTAAACCTGCGACACACCATCTTTATATTACTGACCAAATAAAGTATACAAATAATCTCAACAAACAAAGCAGTTTGGAATGCTTAACAGAATAAAAACAATAACGAATGTGATGCTGGTCTACTTGAAAAATAAATGATAAATGCAACAGCACAATGTAAATAAAAAAAAATAAGCACAGTGTATTGTAACAGTTTGTAGGTTGATGCATAGATCTGCATTTTACTGGTCACAATAACCTCATTCACACCTAAAAGAAATGGGCATTGCTCCTAGAAAGTAGAGCTGACAAGGGACCAGTGACTGTCATTCCCTACTCCAAAACCCACCATATATCATCCTGAAAAACCAAGCTTTTCATTTAGGCTTGGTGAAGTTATAAACCACAGACCCTTAACGGGTCACACTAAAAATAAAAAGGGTGAAGCTAATACTGCACTGGCATAGCACACAATATAAACACACTGATTTGAAGTCAGTTGTGTAAATTATGAACTCAGATGGTCGGTACTAATGACTTGTGCCAGTTGGCGCACACTAAGCATATCTACACACTCATATTCAAGCAGATTAGCAAATCTTGGTCGATTTGCAGTGTCTACTTCACCCATCTTTAGCTGCAGAGTTTTAAAGGATAAGTTCACTGATCAGCAGATTGCGGTGCAATTCCAGGATCATGCAGACTCTCAGTTAGCTGTACCTTTGGTATGGGCAGACAGTTATTGAGCTACAGGAAGAATTAAGGAACTATGAGAGAGCTCACCAGTGCCCTCGCAGTTCATTGGGAACTGCAAGCTATCTACCGCAAAGGAAGATGGTACTTTTAGTGCAGTAATTTGCAGGAACTGTGAATGAATGACGCAGCCATGACGGCAAAGTCCCGCACGGCCGCAAAGTTTTTGAATTGCGACAGTGGGTGCGGGGAGAATCTCCCAACAGCTGTCGCAACAAGGGATCGAGGTGGTGCAGGCAGGTGTTCTTTGTTAACATGTTTCACGCGATAAATACGACTGTAACATGTTAACACATGTGAACTTATCCTTTAATACCCCATAAAATCTCTACTGTTAATGTCTGCTGTGCTCCACCACGACTAGCAAAAAATGAAGCTGTGTGACTGGTTATTAAACAGCCCTTATCTGAACAGGCACATGTGCTAGCAGGAATGCTGGGGCCAAGATATAAAATAGCAAGATATCTTCCTACTGTAATTCCATACAGCAATTGCATAACAGCCTCTTTCAAAATCAGCACTGATTTTTTTCGGAGCCACGTACATGGGCACAGTCTCTCGTGCAGCATAAACAAGGGGCATATTTTAGCATATGGAAGCCCCTGGTGCTGTGTACTACACAGCTATGTGATGTTACTCGCGTTAATTGGTGTATGTGCACAGACGAAATGTCTCTAATGCACTATACCTCCATTTGGGACATTATGGCGCAAGCATTGGCACATAGCTGTGCACAGCCGCCTTCACCCGTTCATGTCTTTTTGAACACTACAGGTGAAAATAGTTGTTAGAAACGCATTTTCAAAATTGATATGGAACTACATTTTAGAATAAATATTATATTAAATATTTAAAATATATTTGGTTATTTTTCACAAACTGTTCATGTACATTAGCAGATGACTTTTTTTTTCTCTTTGCTAATATTTCATGATAATGATCAACATTATGCTTTATCTATTTTTTTCATATGTATATACAGTCTCTGATATTGACATACAAAGTGTACCGATATTTCAAAAGCTTACAAAAATATAGCAATTTTTAATTAACATGCTGCATAGTTGCTGAGGAATGAATAAAACATGGGCAATTTCAGGCGTTGTTGGTCCTTGCGACACCAGCCAATCACCGTTCCTTCGCTGTTTGCTGTGTAGAGGTGATGACCATCACAGGAAAAAGTAAGACTGGAAGAAAATACATTCAAGCAGGCTCTTAATGTTTTTAACAGGAAGCCTTTTAAAAGGAATTTATAAGTTGATGCATAATGAATTTATAAAGTTTAATATTCTTGCCCAATAGTCATAATAAGACCATTGGTATAACAGTGTGGAAATCAAACACATGCTCTACTTTAGAGGCCTTGTGGAAATTAAGTGCAAGTTTGCCTAAAACTGGTATTCAGGTTGAACAGGCTACTGCTTACTGTAGAAATCTTCCCTTCACTGACAGAGAATACTCCCCACGGTGGTGATCTTCTAGCACTGCAAGAATTAAGAGAAGATCAGCAGCTGTGACTTTAAAGCATTGGCGCTGCTCGCCCTCCCATTCCTCCTCTCTTGCCCTTTCACAGAACTCATATTATCCTTTCCCAGAATGCATATCATTATAAGAATAGAGGGGCAGATGAATAACAGAATGATTGCTTTGCATTGCCAGAAGGAATACCACAAGTTCTGTGAATGGGAGTGAGGGGAAGAAGGTGAAGGCGAGTAGCACCAGTGTTTATTAGTTGCAGCCACTGACCTAAATCGCCATAGCACTGGAGAATCACTGCTGTTGGGAGTATCCAGCGTCAGTGGAGGGAAGATTTCTACAATAAGCAGCAGCCAAGAAGGACATGAGACAAACAATTAGAATTGTGTCCCTGGTGCTGTATCCACAACAACATTTTTTTTTAACTAAGCCTCAGCGAGCTGCACTAAACACAGTTGCAGGTCTGCACCGGGAGGCACAATGCCGAGGCTCTGAACTTCAAGCATTGCACTGTTCACATTTTTTTCACAGAACTTTATTGAAATGTCATGAGTGACATCTGAATACAGTACTATTTGCCATGGCACCATTGTGATGGTGCTTTGAGTCACAACCTAATGCGCTGCATGCAGTACTGTTTTCAGCACACATCACAGCAATGCTGAGGTGTGAATGGACACTGTTGGATACAGGGCATTTTGTCTTGTCTTTCCCTTAAGCCAGCCATAGATGGATCAAATCTCAGCCTGTTCAGCAGGGACCGGCCAAGAATCAAGGCTGATTGTACCAAAGTTGATCCACCGATCAACTTGGGTAAAACCAGCATGTTGGATTTTTAGTATGTGACTTTTGCCAGCAGCTATAACCACTAGCAATATTCACTGTGTTCCCCGGACCCCCCAACCAGGAGAACACAATAGCTCCATGGCTCCAATGACTGTGTTGATGGGGAAATTGAGCAATTTTCTTTCCTTTCCAACCCATGGTTGCAGGAAAGAAAAATTGCATCATCTATAGCCTGCCTTAACTCAAAATTCAGAGAAAATATAAAATTGCCCAGATTTTTATTAAGTTGTACATGACAATACTTGATAAAATATTTAATAAAACTACACTGAAACAAATAGGGATATCTTTTTTGAATACATATATTGAGAAAAAAACCATCTGTAAACACTAAGGAATATTTCAGATTTCATTACAAGAGCTTAGAGTAAGTGGATGGGAGATTGGGCATTTCCTAGAAACACTGACTTCAGTGATAAACTGATATGTCTCCTGTTCAATACCACCTTTCTAAAATAAAGCAGTGATCAGAATTTCCACTGTAAATGGGGAAGGGTCAAAATAAAATAGCAATATTACCTTACAATTGGCTTATTGGATTTTGGGAATGTTATTTCTCGAACTGGTTTCAAATCCCAGGTACTCCATAACCTAAAAAATAAGCAATCACCTTTACTGCTCATTGTTCCTTTCAAGTATACAAAGACTACTGGAAAAAACATGTATTATTACTTCATATGTATTATTACTTCTTTTACTTTTAACACATATAGTATTTTAATAAGATACTAATACATATGGTTTCAAAGCAGTCTTAAATGCAAAATGTTAGCTTAAAGCTGACATGTCATTGACAAGTTGAGGAATTTGAGCGCAAGGCGCATTACCTAAAAAAATGTCTATAAAGAAGTCTAGATGTAAGCCTTTATCCTCACCCCTTCCTGTCTGACAAAAGCAATATATGAAATACTTATTTTTGCAAATAATGGCAACATTATCACCAAAACAATATCGATATTGAACCAATGTCCATAAGTATTCAGGTGGAAAAGCTGAAATGTTAAAACATGCTCTTCACCTCAATTGGTAAGGTACATGTAAGCATTATCAAATTATATTATTTTGAATTAAAAATACAGTACCTCTTTCTTTTTTATCATGAATGTAAAATCTGCTGTTCTCCAGCTACCAGCCTAGGACATTGGCCTTTGGCTGCCAATCATTACAGCCAGAAAGACTATTGTTTACAATCAACAGTGAGGGTTGAGGACAGAAATGAGTGCCCCAAGGATATACTTAACTACTACCTATGCATATAACATATGGGAAATACATACAATGGAATTTTTTTACTCACTGTGAAATGCTTTCATTTTCACTCAAATGACTCCATGAAAAGGATTTTATGGTGGATACAAAACTCCTATTTTCTTTCTCACCCAATGAGGGACAAAGAAATTCTTTCACCTTAAGCTAACAGCTTAAGCAAATTTGCCTTGGTCAATCCAAAGCAAGATTGATTAGAAAAGTTCTCCATCTTAAAGAATATGTAAACCCAACATTCATATTTCTGTTATGTGCCTGGTGTACCATGAACTTGTGTAAAAAAAAAGTATCCTGTGCTCTTTGTATTACTTCCTCTGTGTGAAATTGCTGGTGTTCCGGCCAATCACTCTGCTTTAATAACAAAAACTGACTACACTAAGCAGGAGAACACACCGTGGTCAGTTCTCTAGCTAAGCTATGCTAGGAACTCAACATGCTTTCCTCTAATGATCAGACATGTCCTGCCAAGACCCCCCCCTTCCCTGCACAGTCATTCACTGGGAAGTTCAGCATACTTCCGTTTCTCCTCCCCTATCTCTCCGTGCAGCTGAGAACAGAGGGGATGTGATCACTTATAAGAAAGGGAAAAAAAGATATTTATAATGTTTTTTTTACATCCATGCAAAAATGTTTTGCAGTTTATTTCTATTTTAAATTGAATAGGTTTTTGTACAAGGTGGGGTGTACATATACTTTAAGTCTGAAAAACAGCCAGGTAAAAAGCCTAAATCTAGGTGTACAATTTCCACATACAGCTAGAGAATCCCTATATCTGGAGATGAACCTGTTCAGCATGCAGTTTTGGAAAGCATATGAGTGTAGTGGACACTCCTCCATGCTAAGAGGTAATCAGTTGAGGAAGCTGTCCATCAATTCTCTGTACCTGAGATGTGGGCTAAAATATGACTGAGCAGGTAATATGTAAGAGGAGTCCAGTGCCAATTTCTGAAGAATCAGGATCCAACTTAATTGTTAAGACATCTAGAAAATCAGAATAATCTTGTCAAACAGAGCCTATGCCGACTGTTTCCTCCACAGGGGGTCTCCAGAGTACCCCACAGTAGGGATGCCATGAGAATGCACTAGTACAAACACTGAGGTCTGCACATTAGTGGACACTTGGAATGCAGGGGCAAGACTGAAATGTCAGAGCACTAGAAGGACAAAGACTTGTAGGTATGTGTCCTAACTGACCAGAGAAGCCAGAAAGTCCCTCTGTGGAAACGTAGGAAGGGTTCATCTGGTAGATACCCTGCGATAGGTTTGGACCTACAGGCCCCAGAAGAGTTAGATGTTCTCTTTAGGAAAGAAAACAGTATCCAGGTTGCAAAAAAGCACCTGAAAATGTTCTGATGGGCACTATATCAGTGTGCTGTACAAATGTGTATTGCTAAAAGACTGATATGGAAGACAAGAAAAAGATACTTTCAGTAGCCCGCCACAGCTGAAATGTACAGCTCCAGCCATCTGCCCCTACACTAAATTAGCAAAGGATCCAGTGCCGCAATGGTAAGGTCTCTTTTAAGGGTTTTTAACCATTCTGTTATGTTTTGACAGATTAAAGTCACAAACACAATAGTATGAAGGGCAGGTCCCACCATCAAGAAATTATTTCTAAAGAGGGTTCGTAACAACTTATCAGTAGGTTTCTTGAATACATAAATGCCCTCAACTACCCTACTGTTCTCCTATTTACTGTAGGTGGGCTACCGACAGATCCATAATTGGGGTAGAACACGGTTTGACAATCCTTTCCAAATAGGAACAAATCTAGTAAGCATTTGTGGTATTGCAACAGCACATTGGGGTTTTTTTTGTCTCCACACCATTAAAGTCTGGCTAAGTTAAGGCCGGCTAAAGCCGGATAGCTGCAACTGTAGAAACCAGCACTTGCAACTTGTTTAGGGAAGAACCTTGATTGGAGAGAAAATTTCTGGAAAAAAAATAGGTTAGTCATTCAGCAACAGAGCTGAAAAAAGACTTCAATCCTCCTAGGACAGTAGCAAATAACTGAGGCATGCTAAGAGTGGGAGGGGTTAACCTAGGCTAGCTGGCAATTTTCCTTTGTTGCCAGTGTCTAAATTTTCCATAGACAGCAATATAAAACAAAAGGTGAAAAAAAAGCCAGACATATGTGAAGCTCAGGAGACAAGCTAAACAAGATTGTAAGCAGGAAAAAATAATTTATTGCAGAAGAGACACAATGTTCCATCTGCAATAAAAAGCCTGCATGTTAGTCAATATTTTTTTTACCAGTTTAAAGTCCAAGTCAGATCATGCTGCATGCACTGTTATACATGAGGGTCAATATCTTTTCGTACAGCGCAAATTAAATTAAGAAAAAAAAAAAAATATATATATATATATATTTATTTTGTCAAGTTTGTACTCTATACTTACCGGACAATGCCATTTTCAAGTCCACCAGCAATTACATTAACAGATACTCCTTCGGGTTGGTTAGAAAATGCAATGGAGCATATAATCTCTCTGCAATGTACATGTCCAATTAGATCTCCATTCACAGTCCATAATCGTAGGTCACTTCCTCCTCCAACTATAAATGGCAAGAAAGGTTACCTTCAAAACTGAATTCATAATTTACAAATAAACAATGTCCAAGTGTGATAAAAACCAGAACAAATGACATCAAAATATGCAACAGATCTGGTATTACTAATTTACACAAAAGCCTTCCACTGGATATTTTTGACAACCAGGACACTTGGGGTAAAGGGGAAAAAAAACAGCTTTACAAAAAAAAAACTCAACCAAGGTTTTTGGGTAGAGAGCACGCAAGTCTCCTTATAAACACTGGCAACTAAAAACAAATTCACATAGCCTGGATCTAAAATGCACTGGATTTCTATCACTTGCAAAATCCAGACCTCAAACAAGCAGATGCCAAGCTGACCCGGTGCACAAATACTATACAATGATAAGTTTTATATCATTAAGGCTCCTTAGCAGTATTTTTGGTTCTGCCCCTCCTAACACACCTTAGCACACATGGCTGATGACATAATATCTGCTCAGACACAACTAGATCAAATAAAGAAATCTACTGGCAAGAGCCTGACACCACTAACCAACTCAAATTGAGTGAGGATTCTTATGGGTGAAGCACAAGAGGGAAAGAACTGGAATCTTGTGCTGATCTTCCAGGAATGGATTCCAGACAGAATCAGAATGCTAGCTGGTGATCCAGCCAGCTTTCAACCAAAATTTTAAAGCAAAACTTCACCCAAAACAAAGCCCTCCTTCCCTCCATCCCATTTGACATGTTTTTTTTTTTTTTGGGGGGGGGGGGGGAGGGGGGGCAGGTACCTAGTTTTGACAGGCACCCAACTCCCACTTTAGCTTCGATCACCTAGGTGATCGGAGCGGAAGTCTGGGCCTGCTCTCTTTGCCCGCAGCCTTCTGTGACATGTCACAGGTCCAAGAAGATTGCGGAACCATACACAAAATGCAGCTTGGCTCGTGTATATGCAGTAGTAAATTGGCTGTGAAGCCGCCAGCTGTTACATACGGCTTCCCACACTAAAGATGCCAACATCGGGAAACGAAGACCTGAGAAGAAACGGTTCGGGTGAGGACAGTGCTGGATCCCTGGATAAGAGAGTGTCTATTTAATAAAAGCATTCACCTAAAAAAGTGTTTTATAACATACCCGAGTCACAAACAGTTGCAATGTCTCCTGTTGTTTCACTTGCAGAGACTGCAGTTACTGGACTTTTGTGGCCTGTTAGGCTTTGAACGTAACACAATCTTCAAACAGAAAAGGCAGATATATTTATAGATACAAGTAAACAACATCAGCAATCTGAAAAACCACTAAAATAGGCAAAGTTAGGCTATACTGCCTAGTGTATTAGGTATGTCAAGACCATCATTTTTATTTAAAATTATTAGGCAAAATATGGTAAATACCGCCATCTCCTTTTTGAAATAAAAAAAATGGCACATTTATCCTTATTCTTTGTGCAGTACTTAGCAAGACGCAGAGCCAGCCCAAAGAACATGTATACTTTAGGTGTACTGTAGTATGTTACCTACTCTGAGTGAGAGACTTGAACAAAGCCCCAGACTTCTCACCTTTAAAAGAGGATCATCAAAAGAAGTTTTCTATCCTGACAGGTTTGCTTTTAACATAAAATATACGATGTACAGAGGATAACTTGCTCCTACATGGGACTTATGAATGTCTGAACATCATCCTACTGCCATATTATGATTCTTTAATAGCTCAATATAATGAATTATCATTACACCATTATTTTGACCTACATTTGAAGTAGCACTGAGATGTCCTCTTTGGAGTGGACCCTATACTGTATTATGTGGTCCATTTCAAATTAGATTCTGAGGTCTTTTTTTTTTTATATCCAATCATACATCCAATTTTCTTCACGTGTGAAGCTTCAGACAGGGGTCAGTAGTAAGTGATGCAGAATTCAGAGGTCAGTAGTAAGTCAGAGTGCAAAGGTCAGTAGTGATGTGTGGTGCAGAGGTCAGTAGTAAATGACGTAGATTTACACAAACCGGAATCTGCAAGTTTGGGTAGCTTTGCTGGCTTTACAGCTCATTTATTTGTAGCCACTGCTCCTACAGGACTGAAATACACCATTTGCACAATCACCTAGCCACAGCAATATAAGTTACCTGTCAGATGGTGAACAAAAACAGTAAGGGGCAAGTAAACATACAAGTTGATCATACCTGTTTAGATCCCATATTATGCAGGTTCCATCTTTGCTAACGCTAATTAATATGCTGTAGGGTTTACAGACAAACAGGCTGGTTACTTCTCCAGTATGACCATACAGGTGCACTCGGGATTCAACTTCAATTTCCATCGGCTGCATATTTAAAAGAAATATCCAATAAGCTTATTTTTAAACTAAAGTGCACTTTTCAGTGAAATATAAAAATATATTACACTTCAAAAAACAACTTTACATTATTGTCACCTAGACCAGTCATTCCCAACTTTTGTATTATGGAGGAACCCTTGAAACATTTTTCAGGTCTCAGTGAAAGGGTGCTTAGAGTTAACAAATCTATAGCTCATGGAATATTAGTGTTATCAGTAAGTTGTAGAAATACAAAGGAATAAGGTATGCAACATCCAGATGAGATACATTTTAACACTAGACATGTGCAGTTCATTTCTTTCCAAATAAAAATTTAGACAAATTCATTATTCAGAGACTGGGATATATTTGAAATTCCAAATTACAATAGAAACGAATTTGACCACTTGCCTACCAGGCACTTTTACCCTCCTCCTGCCCAGGCCAATTTTCACCTTTCAGCACTATCACACTTTGAATGACAATTGTGCGGTCATGCAACACTGTACCTATATGAAATTTTTATAATTTTTTTCATATAAAAAAAGATTTCTTTTGGTGGCATTTAATCACCACTGGGGTTTTTATTTTTTGTGCTATAAATGAAAATAGACCAAAAATTTTGAAAAATAAAATGCATTTTTCTTTGTTTTTGTTATAAAATTTAGCAAATAATTTTTCTACACAAATTTAGGCAAAAAAGTATTCTGCTACATTTCTTCGGTGAAAATAACCCAAATCAGTGTTTATTATTTAGTTGGTAGGAAAGTTATAGAGTCCACAAACTATTTTATATATACAAAAATCCTGATGTACTGACAGCTCATTTCTTGAGGCCCAAAAACACCAGGACAGTACAAATACCCCCAAATGACTGGTTTTCGAAAAGTGGACAGTCTGAGGTATTTAGTAAGAGGCATGGCGAGTTTTCAAAGTTGTCATTTCTTGTCAGAATTTTGTGGAAATGTTGTACAGTGTCATCAGTATAACTGGTGCGGTGATCAGGGCCAGTCTGGAAATTCTACACCGCTGCCTAGTAAGAGAGTGACAAAAAACACTTCTAAAATGACATCTCCACTAAAATTTTTATTATTTTTGTTATTATCCTTGGCTGCACTGGTACAGGGCTTGACCTCCTACCAAGAACCCAGTTAGGAAACCTTTGTAAACTGCTGTGGAAATAACAGCTTTATACAGAGCAGCAGCGTTCTCATATATAGAAATATACACTGCACAAAAAGATTTAAAGGAACACTTTGAAAACACATCAGATCTCAATGGGGAAAAATATCATGCTGGATATCTATATTGATATGGACTGGGTATATGTGTTAGGAATATAAGGATGCCCCATCGTTTGATGGAAATGAAAATGATCAACCTACAGAGGACTGAATTCAATGACAAAGTGAAAAAAGATGCAGCAGGCTAGTCCATTTTGCTGAAATTTCATTGCACCAACTCAAAATGGTACTTAGTAGTTTATGACCCCCACGTGCTTGTGTGCATGCTTGACAATGACAATGAGATGGATAGTGTCCTGGGGTATTTCCTCACAGTTCTGGACCAGGGCATCACTGAGCTCCTGGGCAGTCTGAGGTGAGACCTGGCAGCGTCAGATGGACCGAAAGATGATATCCCAGAGGTGTTCTATTGGTATAAGGGCAGAGGAGCGTGGGGGCCGCCATTCAATGATATCAATTCCTTCATCCTCCAGGTACTGCCAGCATACTCTTGTCACCAGGCTGGGCATTGTCGTGAACCAGGAGGAACCCATGACCCACTGCACCAGCAGGGTCTGACAATGGGTCAAAGGATTTCATTGCAATACCTAATGGCAGTCAGGATGCCATTGTCTAGCAGGTAAAGATCTGTGCGTCCCTCCATGGATATGCCTCCCCAGACCCTCACTGACCTACCACCAAAATGGTCATGCTGAATGATGGTTACAGGCAGCATAACATTCTCCACGGCTTCTCCAGACCCTTTCACATCTGTCACATGTGTTCAGGGTAAACCTGCTCTCATCTGTGCAAAGCACAAGGAAGCCAGTGGTAGACCTGCCAATTCTGGTGTTCAATGGCAAATGCCAATCAAGCTCTATGGTGCTGGGCAATGAGCACAGGGCCCACTAGAGGATGTCGGGCCCTCAGGCCACCCTCGTGAAGTCTGTTTCTGACTGTTTGGTCAGAGACATTCACACAGGTGGCCTGCTGGAGGTAATTTTGTAGGGCGCTGGCAGTGCTCATCCTGTTCCTCCTTGCACAAAGGAGCAGACATTGTCCTGCTGATGGGTTAAGGACCTTCTACGGCTCTGTCCAGTTCTCCAAGAGTAACTGCATGTCTCCTGGAATCTCCTCCATTTTTGAGCAGTGTATATGAGGATACTGCTGAAGAAGTTAGAAATGTTTATTGTAAATGTGCCCTGCATATAGAAAGAAGTCATACTGGCAGGTTTCCTATAAAATAGTAATAAAAAATGTTTTAAAAAAATTATTTCAACATACCGTTGCATTAGTGAAACGATTCAGGTATGCAGTGATGACTCCACATTTGCTCCCAGTGTAAAGTTGACAACTGTCTGGCACCCACGCACAACTTGTTACCTATTGCACATTAAGGTTTTGTTTTACTACTCATAATAAATAGTGCTGGATGATTCAGCTTACAGACCAAAAGTATCAGCATTTACCACCAATATTCCCAGTAATTAACTGGGTATCACTGATAGAGCTCCAAGGTTCAGTGCATACCTAACATGTTTAAAGGATAAGTTCACCTTTTTTTAAAAAAATAAAAATAAATGCACATCTTTTTGCAAGTAAAAAAAAGCGAATTTATTAATTTTTTTCCTAGGAGCCTAGAAAGCATCATACCTGCAGTCAGCAGATTGTGGGTGCCATGCGGGACTCTTGCAGACTTGTCCGTGCAGATACACACTGACAGGAAGAATCAATGAATCTTCATTGAGAGCTACAAGCCGAGTATCTGTTGATACTTGTAGTTTTCCATTCACAGAATTCTGTGAATGAATGATGCAGGGGACGGGCAGATCCCCGCTTGGTCGTGTTTTTTTCTTTTTAAATAGTGACAGCAAGTGGAGAGAGAAGATCACCCGCTAGCTGTCACTAGGTGCAGTGGAGCGGGTAGTGACTACGGGAATGGGAACCCAAAGGTGAACTTAACCTTTTCAGGATAAGTTTATCTTTTATACCATGTTCCGCCCATATTTAGGGTGTAACATGCTATGAATAGACCGGTCCCTGCTCTTCCATGCCACTAGCTGTCCAAATTTGTTTTTTAAAAATGTGGGGTTCCACTTACCGCATCACTCATTCACAGTCCACTTTCAGTGAGAAACTACAAGTCCTGACAGTCTTAGCGGCTGTATGCTTGTAGTTCTCAATGAACTACCACGGTGTTGTGTCATCCGTAGGGGAAAGCAGATATACTGATAGGTCTGCAGGAGATCTGCATGGCACCAGTGATTTGCTGATCGCTAGTGCAATGGTTTATAGGCTCCTGCAACAAAAAATAATAAACACAATTTTTTTACCTGCAAACAAATGTGCATTTGTTATTTTTTACCAAAAGGTGAACTTCTCATTTAACAATCAAGCTGTAAAAATTAGCAACCCCCTCCTCTACACTTGAAAACAGTTTTTGCTAAGAATCATTAAAATCAACAAATACTTAAGATACTAAAAGCAGCTCATGTAATAAACCATAGCGAAACGTGGAAAATGTTGACGTGGTTGATAGTGACAAGCATGCAGGGGATTGGGGATTAAATTGTAGTAATATAGTCCTTGAAACGGTGTTGACTTGACAATTCACAGGCACAAAAATAGCAATCCTAATACATGAACTATACTTGGGCATTTGTGAAAATGTGCGGGAAACTACACAGGTTAATAGCTTTAACAGTGACTATACCTAGAGCCCAATCTGTGGGAACTATATTTTATGGTCAGTTGAAAAAACATTCTTTACATTGGTGGTCAGGGGGTAAAATGTCCTCTAGACCAGTGGTCATTGAAAGGAAGAATGTCACATTCATGGTGGTCAGTGGGAACAGTGCTGTATTCTTATTACTATCTACCAATGTAAATGACATTTCCTATAATGCTTGACAGTGTGAAAATGCAGAGAGGCATATAAAAATGTGATTGGTGTCCTGTTAGCAACAAGAGGTTCCATAAACTGCACTGGTATCATGGGCTCTGCAAAGTGACTTTAGAGCCGGAGCTATAAAGCATACCTGTAGTAAGGTTTTGGTGAGGCTTCCAAGTACAATAGACCCTTATACATAGTAGAATGTAAAGTATAGTTGCTTTTTTGCAATATATTGCAGATACCTAAAATATCTGTAATAAATCAGTACTGGAACTATGCAGACACCATCAAGAAAGATTATTTTGCCTGTCTTTGCCTGTACTCTTACAACACTCTGCAGCTGGTGGTGACTGAGGCAGAGGACAGCTACTGCCAAGCCCGAAGTATGTCATTATCAAAGATGCAAGTGAAATACAAAATTATTATAACAGGTGATATATATGTATTGAATGATTTATCTGAAAATCATTTATAAGGCAGTCCACTATTATTTTTTGAGATAGTGCTGCCTGAGAACTTCTAAAGGTACACAATATTTAGAAACTATTAACTAAAAGATGAGAAATATGCCTGCCCCCATATTACTCTTACTATTATTAATAATAATAATACACTGTTTTAAACAAAAAAAAAAACATTTACATACCATACGTAGTATACAGTGCTTTGACATTACACTTTACTCATATGCGCTTTGTCTGAGAACCAGCATTTTACTGCAAAATCCTACTTTAAATAGTAAATTCTTTTTTTTAAGCCAACATCACTACTCTTTTCTTCTCAATGTCAGTCTCAAAAATGCCATTTTCTATAGTCTCTACATGTCTTTTTTGCACACATACTGAATCGTGCCAATAGCTTTTGTAGTGTAAGCAGAAAATGAAAAGGACTATTAAAGAAATTTGCCAGGATTTGTGAACCAAAATTGTCACTGCAAGACACTTCAGATAAAGTCTGCAATATGTAATCATATCCTATAAGCTGCATACATTTATTTCTGTAGTCTGGTAATGTATGTATCCAAATGCTTTGAATGCGCACATTTTCATCATTCTGAAAAAAAAATAATACATTACCTGGTGATGTTCAGAACACTGTATGAAATTCACAGGTGGTTCACTTTGCTTACTCTTCAGTCTTAGAATGTTATCAGGATATCCCCAGCTGAGAATTGCTGACCACTGAATGTCAGTGCTGTGCATACTCCGGACACCTAGAATTATTTATTTCATGTTATAATTAGAAAAGAGTCTGCATATTATTATACGTTGTTATCCTTTTTACATTAAATACTAATGTTTACAATATGATGTATGCCGACATGGTCTATTTTACCAACATACGCTCTTCAGAGTTGTAATATTACTCACAGTACTGCACTAGTGTATAAGCTATACTGTACAAGATAATAGTTATATTTCTGATGGAATCAAGATATAATACAGCTAAAAACATACCTTGCTCCTTACTGTAGCTCATCATTAAGCAGAATTTTTTTGATAAGCCACAAATAGCTCTAGTTGGTAAAGCTTGTAGCGAACCAAACCTCTCTCCATGGGGCTGGCTGAAGCACACAATAGGATCGGGAGAACTTGGGGAGCCAACGTATTCTCCCCATTTCAACCCTTTTATCCAAGGTAATGGACTCTATCAGAAGAAAAACAGAGTAATTAATTAAAAGGAAATCTGAGAAAGATAAATTAAAGAGTTACTAAACCCATAACAGTAAAATCAGTCTGTATATGCAGTAATGCATGCGTGTTATACTCACTGTGGAACCTAAGGAGTTAATCCTTCACATTGTAGATAAAGTATGCTTGATCTTATCTTCTTCTCTGATTCTCCCCTTCTTTCAGTGTCTCCCAAATATTCCTGATAGAACAGGGGCTTGGGGACAAGCTGCACATTCTCAGTTTGGTGTGTACTGCTAGAGAAGTTTGTTTATTTTTTTTCTAGGGAGAGTGCATGTGATCAACACAGGGCCAATCAGCACAGTCCAGACAGAGGTCGGGGTACTGCATCCTCCTACAGGACAATGAAAAATCCTCCTACAAGCTGTAACCAGTGCTCTGCTGGACACTGATATAAGTCACAAACTGATATATACTGCTGATGAGAAAAGGTATTTAGTAGTTTATATTTACTAAAATAATTGCATTTCTATGTTCTGTGTACTGTGGGAGACCAGATAAAGTGAATGCAGGGTCCTGGGTTTAGTAACACTTTAAAGACAAGTGGCATATTTGCTAAGTTCATCTTTGTGAAAAATAAATAAATGCACATATTTTTTGCAGGAAAAAAATGTGCATTACTATTGACTGCAGCTCTGTTGCCCATACCTCTGGGTTTTCAGTTACAGAGTTGTAGGAAGTGTGACTGGACTGATTGTGCTGATCAGCAAGCTCGTGACCCACTGAAACTATGAATCCATTTGCTGTGGTGGCAGACAAGACTTGTATAAAGTATTCCTACTTACAGGGTAAGAAGGCTCCTTTGAGCTTTCTCTGTTTTCTCTGAATGCAAGCTGCACTAGCAATCCCATGGCAGCGGGGAGTTCTCCTTCTATGAGAAGCTTCGATCCTGGGCGGCATATATGTGCACCATGAAACAGCTGTCGTGGTGTTTGGCCATATGTTTTAATCATTGTTTCCAGTGCCCGTCTTTGAACAGGATCTTCAACTGCTGAAACATCCATCCCAAAATAAGTCTGGAAACAAAAAAACATTTTATGAATAAACACAAACCAGAAAGACATTAAGGCACATGGCAAATAACTGAACACTTTAAACATAGCATGTTTTAGATATCATTGAATAGAAAATCTCACATATTAAAATCATTTTATTTTATTTTTCCTAGGTAGGATACCTAATTTAGATCACTTTTCTATTTCTTTTTAAGATTAAGAATAATTTATTGGCATAGTGAATAAATTCCACAACAAAATTACAAAACAATAAGAGGAACTGCAACAAAAATAAAATCACATCCAGCTATATACACATTTTCATAAAAAACATTTAAAAAAAACCCTACCCTAACTCAATTTCCCATTATTTACAAGATTTTAAAAGCTTCCCAAAGAAGTATAAAAGTGACTCTACTGTATCTAGGGTGGGAGTAATGAAATGGATCAGGCCAGGTATGGTTCATATCTGTTACCCTGGGCCTTGAAAACCAGCACCTAAATGCCCTGTGCAAAATACTTCCTGGGCACTTGTACTTCTGCCACCTATTGCCTGCATAAGGGTTCTTAATGTCAAATATTGATATGTAAAAATTGGACTACTAGAACCTATGACAAAATATAAATAGCTGGAGAGCGCATTAAACATCTATCCAAAACTGTTTCATCACTTTTAATTGAATTGCTCCTTTAAAGCTATATTTTATGGATCAGTATAATCTCCAGAATACATCCCGGCACAATTATTTTCCAAGAAATTAGGAAGCACCTTTCTTTTCATACTTACAGCTGGGTGGAACACATTGATGGCTTGCACAGCAGCACGCCCTTTTTGTTTGTAGCCAAATACAAGATCGATCCAATTACAAATTGTCTGGGACACTTGGTCTGACTCTAGAGCTTGGCGATGAATCAAGATGAAAAGACGTGGATCATTTCGAGCCCAAGGTGGAAGGTTAACATGATTTACCCGTTCTCCATTTTGACGTACACCAAAGTCAAAACCTATTTAGTTGAAAGGGCAGTTTTAACACATACCTCTGAAGCACTTTTAGAATACAAGGCTAAATTGTGTTGTCTTCATCAGCCATTTTTAAAATACATTTTTTTAGAAGCACTCAGAAATTCATGCTTGCAACACAATGCAAAAAAACATGCTTGCTCTAGGAGCAAACTGCACTCATTTTGTTATTGCAACCAGCATACTGTCAGTTATTTGTAGAAACCCTATTCAAAAGAATATTTCCTTTAAAACCCAAGTCCAGCCACACCTTTTTATTAGATAGAGCTGGGAAGGCTGTGAGCGTATGTACATTTTTTTTTACTGTGGTCTGTGTCCCTGTTGGCGAGATTGTCCCTCATTTTCAGGACAGGAAAGAAAACTCCTACAACAGATAAGGGACAATAGGAAGTCAATAGAATTTCTGACAATATTTTATCACATATATTTCTTTCACAGTTACAACCACATCCACCCAATGGAGTCACAGACAGAAATACAAACCTTCAGCAAATCGAATCTCACCATCATTTCATAAGCTCAGAATAGAGCTAGACTAGACACGGTTGCCCTGATGAAGGGCCCATGTGCTCTGGAACATTGCGTTTACTCTAAATAATACACAGTTCTACCATGAGAAAGAATAGGAATGAGATTTGGTAAGAGCTGGTGAGATTTCACGTGTTGAAGATTTCTGACAAGCAGCGTCATCTGCTTTTTACCACGCAATACTCATCAACACAGCACTGAAAAGCCATTTAATGTGTAACATTCCCTCTTTAACCTATAAATAAAAACCTGATAAAAATGTTAACTTTTCATATAGTCCAGAAAGCCCATCTATAATGCTATTATAATGTCTCGTCTCTCTTTCTAGTCTACATGGATATCTGCAGGCATTCCTATTCCTGCAACGAAACTGTATGAGGCACCATGTAGCAATCACATGGTTTTACTTTATTTTCAACAACCATTTTCACAAGTTTTCATGTTAAAGTTATACTCCACTTAGGGGATCCAGTTTTTATCCTATCATATATGTTATACAGCTTGCTGCTATGCTCTTCAAATCTCTATGGTTTCCAGTATTTGTCTAGCAAAATGTTGTCTGGCTTTAACCACTTTTCCCTAAAGTTTTCGGAAAGGAATTCTGATCAACACAGAACCTTGTGACAAATGAATCCAGTCCTGCTGTAAATTAAGGCTAAATTAATTGGTCTATTTCATACTTCTACTTAAACGCTGTGTTAAGCTGCTGTGTTAATTATCTGTAAGATAAAATCCAAATAATTTTTAATAATTCTACTTTTTAATATGCTACACTTAGTACAGAATTAGTGTAATTGTTCTGAAGATATTTTTTGCTCAATAAAAATCTTTACTTTTAATATCAAATGTAAATCTTTTGTTTTTATTTATAATAATCTTACTTTAAAAATAATCAGAACGTTTTTAACATAATTCTTATAACAAGCACTGTTCTGTATGTGTTCCTTAATAACTAAAAGCTAATTTAACCAAACTATGTACAAATTATACACACTGTTCACAATAATAGCCTTATCAAAGGTCTGCCCAAACCGTGTCCAAAATATTATGTGTAAACAAAAGTATAATATGATAATATTCACATATTGCTATATGAAACTACACCTCAACATTCAATAAAATAGTTCTTCATTGTAGTCTCTATAGAAAGATCCAAATACAAAGTGACCCATCCAGCAATATGAAGGAATATTACAGATTCTAAATGTGCTTTTAATCAGAAATTACCATAGAAATTTAACAAAAGTGCTCCCCTCAGGTATATGCACTGTACTTTCATACCCATTTTATAGGTGGCCAAATAAGATCGATAATAAATATATTTTGCATATACAATAATTTGGGCACAGTTTGGTTAGATTTTCATTCTATGTACAGTATAAATTAGGAAATACAAGGTGCAGTGCACTTTATTAAAATTATGTTAAAAGCCTGCTGAATATTTTTAATGTAATCCTTTGTTTACATTAGTTGGATCAAAGTGAGAGCATTATAACTGAAAAAAAAAAACCCCACACATTAAATTTGTTATTTTGAAGTCTCAGGATTGAAATCCAATTAAATATAAATATGCGGGGATGCAATTTCTTCTGTTATGCGTAAACATACAAAAAATGCATCTGTCCTCCCCACCCTTTAACTGTGGGTCTAAGCAGCTGTGTATGGCAACATAGCGCTTTTTCAGATGTATATATTGCATGTGAAATGCAGACATCTACAGTCAGGTCCATAAATATTGGGACATCGACACAATTCTAACATTTTTGGCTCTATACACCACCACAATGGATTTGAAATGAAACGAACAAGATGTGCTTTAACTGCAGACTGTCCGCTTTAATGTGAGGGTATTTACATCCAAATCAGGTGAACAGTGTAGGAATTACAACAGTTTGCATATGTGCCTCTCACTTGTTAAGGGACCAAAAGTAATGGGACAGAATAATCATAAATCAAACTTTCACTTTTTAATACTTGGTTGCAAATCCTTTGCAGTCAATTACAGCCTGAAGTCTGGAACGCATAGACATCACCAGACGCTGGGTTTCATCCCTGGTGATGCTCTGCTAGGCCTCTACTGCAACTGTCTTCAGTTCCTGCTTGTTCTTGGGGCATTTTTTCTCTTCAGTTTTGTCTTCAGCAAGTGAAATGCATGCTCAATCGGATTCAGGTCAGGTGATTGACTTGGCCATTGCATAACATTCCACTTCTTTCCCTTAAAAAACTCTTTGGTTGCTTTTGCAGTATGCTTTGGATCATTGTCCATCTGCACTGTGAAGCGGCGTCCAATGAGTTCTGAAGCATTTGGCTGAATATGAGCAGATAATATTGCCCGAAACACTTCAGAATTCATCCTGCTGCTTTTGTCAGCAGTCACACCATCAATAAATACAAGAGAACCAGTTCTATTGGCAACCATACATGCCCACGCCATGACACTACCACCTACCATGCTTCACTGATGAGGTGGTATGCTTAGGATCATGAGCAGTTCCTTTCCTTCTCCATGCTCTTCTCTTCCCATCACTCTGGTACAAGTTGATCTTGGTCTCATCTGTCCATAGGATGTTGTTCCAGAACTGTGAAGGCTTTTTTAGATGTTGTTTGGCAAACTCTAATCTGACCTTCCTGTTTTTGAGGCTCACCAATGGTTTACATCTTGTGGTGAACCCTCTGTATTCACTCTGGTGAAGTCTTCTCTTGATTGTTGACTTTGACACACATACACCTACCTCCTGGAGAATGTTCTTGATCTGGCCAACTGTTGTGAAGGGTGTTTTCTTCACCAGGGAAAGAATTCTTCGGTCATCCGCCACAGTTGTTTTCCGTGGTCTTCCGGGTCTTTCGGTGTTGCTGAGCTCACCGGTGCGTTCCAGTTGTTTTGGCCATGGCTAATGTTTTTGCTATCTCTCTGATGGGTTTGTTTTGTTTTTTTAGCTTAATGATGGCTTGCTTCATTGATAGTGACAGCTCTTTGGATCTCATCATGAGAGTTGACAGCAACAGATTCCAAATGCAAAAAGCACACTTGAAATTAACTCTAGACCTTTTACCTGCTCATTGTTATTGGGATAATGAGGGAATAACACACACCTGGCCATGGAAACAGCTGAGAAACCAATTGTCACATTACTTTTGGTCCCTTAACAAGTAGGAGGCACATATGCAAACTGTTGACAGTCTGCAGTAAATACCCTTAAAGCACATCTTGTTAGTTTTCATTTCAAATCCATTGTGGTGGTGCATAGAAACAAAAATGTTAGAATTGTGTCGATGTCCCAATATTTATGGACCTGACTGTACATGTATCCATCTATTAGTTTTGAAAATAGTATAAAGCTTCCTAGTGCCACTTAAAAATGTAATGAAACAATTGCTGGACAAAAAATTGTACGGCCAAACTAGCAGATTGTTTAGGCACAGTGAGAGACCACTATCATATAAAAATATCACAGTTTATTAAGATAAAATAATCACAAAAGGGGGTTGTGTATATTTTGTATTTTTTGTCATAAAATCCTTTTTGTGATTATTTTTGTCCAGCTATTTTTTCCATCTACTAGCTTTTTTTTTAGGTCCCTGGAAGCCCCCACGTTCTTCCTTACTTTAGAAAACTAGAAATTTTCTTAAATAATATTCAGCTGATTAACCTTGTTGCTAGTATTTCCACTTTTTACTGAGAAAAAATAAACACACTTGACCTATAAAAGAATACAAATCATGTAATTATATCTACAGAATAATTACACAAATTCTGTACTAAGCGTAGAATATTAAAAAGGATGGTTCCAGAATGCAGAATTCTATGTAATTGCAAAGATCAGGCATACGTATATACCAATTATGTTTGGTAAAGGATAGTGTTTAAGTGAATGATAAAACCAGCTATTAATACCAGAAGGTAGTAGTACATATGAATATAGTAAATTATTATTTAATAGGTCACATAAATTATCAAGAGGAAACAACTACATCAGTCTATTAACTGCAAATAGACGTATTGTTTGCATACTGTAAGAACGTTCATGATAGCTGTCTGGGTATTCAATAAAGTATTTAGTTATAAGTTGGATTCAATCAGCTCTCTCATGGTCACTAAGACAGGAAATGGGGGAAATTTCCAACAGAGATTCAGGTGACAATTAAAAATAGGAGTTCTAGGTATCTTTTTGCTCTTGTGGCCTCAGATTGTGTGAGTGAGTGTGAGTGTGTGTGTATTTTTTTATATATATATATATATATATATATATATATATATATATATATATATACAGTATATATACACACACACATACACACACATACATTCATTTATACATACACACACACACACAGGTTAAACTCAAAAAATTAGAATATCATGCAAAAGTTCATTTATTTCAGTAATGCAACTTAAAAGGTGAAATTAATATATGAGATAGACTCACTACATACAAAGCAAGATAGTTCAAGCCGT